CGCTACGATGAAACAACATCTGAATAATATGTTCCGTGGCACAAATGAGCCACATAATGATGTGCAAACACAGTGAGAGCGCTTTTTCCAACTTATAAGCTGAGCAGTACATTTTATGAATATTGTTTTAGGTAACGGGAAAGTTTCGCTCGGGATACAATCCATTTACCGTTGGTTGTTGGGGCAATGTACGGCATACCTTATGTTCAAGCCAATTTCCTGCGTATGTTGCCTTTAGTAATTTGCCGTTAATTTCACCCAGCGTTTAGCAAAATTCTGAAATGTTCAGTGATCGTTATGCGGAAAGATGAAATTCTTGAACAATTAACGTTTTTGAAATGCGCAAATTTTTTTCTTTTTTTTGCGAATTTCTGTTTTTGGCAACTTTCTCTTTGTTATTCTCATCATATCCTTTGTAGCTTTGAGGCGGTTGTAGCAAAAAAGAAGAAGCAACAGCAGCGGGTGGAAAATGAACGAATTGAAAAAGGTGGTGTTCCTACAGTTGTATATATTCCCGATGGTAATTCTGTCTCGAGAGGAGATGGGCACATCAGGGTGCGTCATTTTTGTGTTGTTCGAGCAAAATTGCTCTCTGGCACTGTATGCTCATATAACTGGCCTTTTTTTTTCCTGTTCTCTTCCTAGAAGTGGTGATACCTTTTTTCCGTCCGTGATCGTCAATCCAGAACAGTGCCTTTGCACATCGCTGATTCATTTCAGCGGCAAATTACTACTAAACTCGGCTTGATAAAACTGTTGAAATCCCCAAAGTGCGGTTATTAGTGGCACTGTGCTATCTCTTTTTTATTGTCTCTCACTGTCTCTCAGTATGGAGAGATTTTAAGTTGTACAGTAATGTGTTCACTGCAAGGAATGTTTGACGTTGTAGATGCGACAGGTGGCTGACGACGAGCAGTCAGTAGGTACAGCGCTTTCATTAACTCAGTCGGTTCACAAAGAAGCTATGCGTGAAGGTTCCACTTGTAATTTGCTCGAGGATCAGGATGATAAAAGCGCATGCCGGCAAAGCGCCCTCTACCACGTAAGTTTTGCTTGGAAGAAACAATCTTGTTCATGCGTTTTATCCTGTGCAACAACAGCACGAAACGCATATTGTCCTCTTTGTCCGTTTGTGTTTGTGCGCATATATATGTACATGTATATATGTATATATATATGTATATATATATATGTATACTATGTATAATATGTACATATGCATATGTATATATACGTGTGTATATATGTGTATATATATACATATATATGTATGTATGTGTGTGTATTTGTGTGTGTCTGTGTGTCGGGATGCATTTTCTTCGCACTTTTCAACTGGGAACTGCAAAAGCTAGGAAATTGAAATTTTAGAACGATGTTTTCCCGCTCATGTGTGACCCCGAAAATTTAATTTCAGCCTTCA